GATCGGCCAAACCTGCCGCGTCAGCAGGTAAATAAGCTGGCCCGGCCCACCAGGGTGCTTACCCTGGCGAGCCGCGTGCCAAACGTTGCCGACCTCTGTTCTAGAATCACATATAGCAACACACGGCCCTGTATGTGCCTCTTCTGCAATCCAGGGATCTGACTGGAGATTTTTTTCTCCAGCAAGTAGAGAACCATTCACCACAGTGCTCCCAAAGCTGCCTGACACAGACCTGACTGTTGAGGCGGAAATAGTACAGAACAAACACACTGCGGCCCCTGGAATCCCTTCTGCACCCTCTGAGTAGCCGAGAGAGAGAGAGAGAGAAGAAACATTCTTCACCCTCTGCCCCCCAACAGGCAAGCAGGAAGGAGGGAGAAAGAAGATAGGAGGGAGGAGTCACTGAGAGGCATAAGGGTTGGATAGTGTTTCACAAGGTTTTCGTAGGATTACTGCATCAATATTTGAGGGCATTGAGTCATGGCAGGACACTGAGCCAAAACTGTTTTGTGGCTCTATGCAAGAGGCTCTATGCAAGAGGCTCTTCAAGTGACCTTGCTATAGTTCAAGGTGAAGGAAGTTTCTTCTAGTAAATAAAACAAGAGTAATTTGGGCAACACTAAGGTTTTAGCTCACCTACCTTCTTCTTCAGCAGTTTCCAATAAAAGAGTGGTCATGCACTCCCAGTCCTTCAGCAAACTGCCTGCCCAATCCCACAGGCTGTCTACAAGGTATGTGACGTGTTTATGTAGCTAGGGATTAAAAACATAAGCCTACAGAATCAAACATTTACTGAAATATGAATACAGCTCATTACATATTTCACCCTCTTTCTCTCATTATAGAACCGTGTATGTGTATATATTTTTTTCAATGTGTGTATTTTTTGACTAGACCCAAACTAAATAATAATTCTTCCGGTTGATATATGGGGAACATCATAAGAGAAAGAGAGTTACTTAAAGGACAGAAGAAAGATTTCCTAAAAAGACTAGTCTCCCTAAAGCTGTCCTGAATATCACTATTTGATTGCTGTTTGTAACACCTAAAATGCCCACTCCCATTCAAGAGCTTGAAATGAATTACACTTTAGTTGCTATCCCTGGCTGAGCAGACCTAGTTTTCAACACCCCCTCTCTGCATTGATACAACTGTAGAATAAGAGGTGTGGTACAACCGAACACACATGTACAGTTTTACTTTACTGAAGCTCATCCTAGAGTTGAGAAAGTATCAAGTTCTAAGATCAACAGTTCTGAGAATGCAACCAAAAAGACCTTTCAAAAGGAAGTCTCCTCCCCACTCACCCACTTCTCCCTCCAACTTCCAGCAGCACCTCAATACCAACTCTCAGCCAGCTGCACTGGTCTGGAAAGGCTCCTCCCTCATCTCTTTGCCTATCACAATCTCCATTTTCCTTACCTCACTCTCCAAGAAAAAAGTTATTAATTTTCTCATGTAGCAGGTATTAGCCCCAAACTTCCCTCTTCTTTTGGGTGGGACTTCCTCTTCAGTTCCCTGATAACTAAGCAGCCTGCCAATGGAAAAAAAAGTCAGTCCAATTCTGTTGTGCACCTTTAGATTACTCAGTGAAGCAGCACAGATTCTGTCAGGATTTCAGGCAGTTTTACTTCTTTCTTTTAAAATCTATTCATTCATTCAGCAAACATCAAATTCTACTGTCAGCTGGAAGGAGAGGCACTAGATTATTTTTAGCTAGAAGTTCTCTCTGTGAAAGCAGGGACTACCTGCAGCAGCTAATACTGGGGCCCTGCCAGTTGTCTGGGCAACATACATAGATCCCATGGCAATGAGTACACCAAGCATTAGGCATTTATTTATCCTGCAAAGGTGCCCACTGTAATTTAGAGAAAATCATAAAAAAGAAATATCCTTCCTATACAAATCTTACTGCCCAGCAATACTTCATAATATGGTACATCTAGTCTCTGAAAACCAAGCCAGGCTTTTAGGATACGTCTACACTGTAATGTAAGCCCAGGGTTAGTGGGACTCGAGTCAACTGACCTGTGTTAGAAAATGCAGGGCTTGAGCATCCACACTAATTCTTTACCCTATGTTATGTTAACCTGGGGCTCTGGCATCCACACTGCAGCACGCAGATCCAAGTCAAACCCATCATATCACAGACTCCCTAGCACCCTCCCAAAATCTGGCCACTCTAGACCTTTAACCATGGTGCACTGTAGTGCACTCACCCTGCACGTTACAAAAAGTAAGACCAGCCTGCCAGCACAGCCTGCCAAGCAACATGGAGGAGACCCCTTTTCAAGAAGTTCTCTTGCTTCCGCTTTCACTCCTGTGTCAGAAAATGGGCAGAGCATTCCCGAGGCATTGGTGGACATTTCAGTGGCATTTTTTGACCCATCAAAGGAACCTAAGAGAGCTTAAGATGGAGCAGGAGAAGGCAGAGGAGGTGGTGTACCCAGACATGGAAGACTCACACTCGCTGATGCTGCTCAGTACACTCAGAATAGCCGCTGAGGCCCCCTGTGTAGACCGGCACTTCTAGTGCAGGGCCACAAGCACAGACCGGGGGGAATCACATCATCATGCAGACCTGGGATGACCAGCAGTGGGTCCACAACTTTCATATGAAGAAAGGCACATTCCTGGAGCTTTGTGAGCAGCTTGCCCTGACCTTCCAGCATAAAGACACATGTCTGAGGCACCCAGGCAGACCCAGAAGCAGGTTGCTATAGCCATCTGTAACTTGGATACCCCAGACAGCTATAGGTCCGTTGCCAACCAGATTGGTGTTGGAAAGTTGACCATGGGTAAAATAGTGGTGAGGTTTTTGAGGCAATCAGGCGTGTGGTTTACCCAAGTGTGGTGGGCATAAAAGATATTCCTGAGATAGTTGCTGGCTTTGCGAGGATGGGGTTTCCAAACTGCCCAAGAGCTACTGATGGCATTCATGTGTCCATAGTCTGCCTTCCTCAAGGAGCACAAGTACATAAACTGCAAAGGGCACTACTCCATTGTTATGCAGGCCCTTGTGAACCATAGAAATCAATGTGGACTGCAGTGGAAAATGTCTTGATGCCAGAGCTTTTCGCCGATTGGGAGTCTACATTCCTGGACAGGCTGGGACACTAGTCGCACCAAATGATATTATCATAAACAGAGTTACTGTCCACATCATTATTCTGGGCATGCCCACTTTTACCTTGGCTTATGAAACAGTACCTGATTTCAGAGGCCCTGGCAAAAGACAGTTTCATTACATTCTCAGCAGGTGTAGAATGGTTGTTGAATGTGCTTTTGGCAGATTGAAATCTCGTTGGCGATGGCTACAGACCCATTTGAATTCCAGTGTCATTAATGCTGTGCACATCACTGTGGCTGTGCTCTTCACAATCTTTGTGATGCCAAGGTAAGCCATTTCCTCCTGAATGGACCTATGACAGTGAGGGACGGCTGAATCGGTATCCTCAGCCAGAAAGTGCAGCTACCACAGCTGGAGCTGGATGCACTTGGGCAACAGAAGTCAGGGATGCTTCGTGTTCCCACATTATGGACTTGCATGGCCCAATGGAAGGGGGGAACAGTACCTCTATGAATCTGGTTGTGGGAGCGGATGGGGCTCATTGAATTGGGGTGTGAGGGAGTGTTCAGCAGCTGGGGAGGAGTGATTGCCCTGTAATGTACTTATGAATAACATGATTTATGAAATGGGGGGGATGATTCACAGCATGGATTCACATAAGGAAATGACTGAAGTGTGGATTGCTGTATCTAACTGTAGAGAGAAATAGCATTTGCTTACTATTTCCTAATTGTTCCTGATCATGTGTTTAGTTTTATTATTTCAAAAACGGATTGCATGAAGAGATGCAGTGACCACAATAACCTTTCTTGATGATATAAAAAGCTTTATTTGTAAACATGTAAAAAACAGTACAATAGTCCCCCAGTGCCAAGCAAGCCAGCTGCTATTACAACACCCAATCACCAGTTACTAAAGAACATTTCCAAAATGAAACAAAAACAAAAAGAGTGTAGCAAGAAATGCAACCATGACAAAAACCCCTACTGCTGCATGTCACCTAGCCCTCGTTCTCCTTTCCCTTCTTTCCCCGTTTTCTGCACACTTGGTGCCAGGGGAGAGGGATGGAGGTAACCACAGAAGAATGGGTAAACACAGAGGGCTGCATGGGGTTTAGTTGCCTTGTCCAGCTGCTCCTGGAGCACAATTGCATTGACCACCCCAACATGGAGTTTTCCAAGCTGTTTCTGGCCTGAAGGTATGTTGCCGGTCATGGGGTGGGAGAGGCAGCAGGAGCTGGTAATCTAGCAACCATGATTGAGATGAGCCGATCAAACAGTTTTCTGCTGAGCTCTGTCCTCCTCCTCCCTTAGCCACAGTTCCTGTTCCAGGAAATGTATAACAAGTGCCTGCTCCTATGCTGAAACCCTGTCCTCAAGCTGTGTGGCCAGCCTCAGCCTTTCCCTTCCTCTCGGTATGCCTCTTCTCCAATCTTACGTCCCTCTGCTTCTGGTACTGGACTTGCTTGTTGGTCCTCTCAGGAACTTCAACCATGACTTCATCACGGAACCACTTCTGCTTGGAATGGTCCATGAAGGTACGCTGGGCCAAGCTTACTGCAGTAAGGTTGAGCTGTGGAGGTACAGCAGCCAGCAGAGATGGAGGGGCCTGCAATGGGACAAGAAATAGAGGGTTACTGTCTCACATAGCTCAGTGGAGGAGCGCAGAAATAATTCTTGTGGAATTTCAAGGACATAAAATGTTACATGTAAAAAATGAACTGCAATATATTGTGAGAGGGATGCCTCAGTCCACAGAATCTCCTTGGACAAAGCCTGGTTAATCCCAGCTAAAGTCGTGCAGAGACAATGAACAATTAAAAATTCCAGCTGCTTCTGTTTTACCAAAATTGCATAACTACTTGGGTTTGGCATCAGAGGAAGGGCTGGTTAGTGGCCTTGCTACAAAAGCTTTTTCTATCATTTCAGGCTTTTCATGCTTTGGAGGACATAACTGTTCTTGTGATGCCCTACTGTCAGAAAGAGACATTATTCCAAGCTGCTGGTGGGAAACCTGCAGTGTATTTAGCCATAGTATTCAATCGTATAGTGCCCCAACACATATCTATTGGTGGAGTGGGCTGGTCAACTACTGAGCCCTGGGAAATACTTCCCCAAAATGTGACTACCTATGTGGAGCTCCTGCTTCACGAAAAGTTTACAACTATCCGCACCTGGGCTTGAGTCAGAATTCATGAGAGAATCAACAGGATACTGCGTTAGTTTTCACATGCTTACGCTGGGTTATGGCTGCATGCAAAGATGCAGAACTCCACAACCACCCTCTTCCCTGCCTCTGGCACATTTTTGGACAAAAATTCTAACCCCAGTCATTCCTGAAATGCTTTTGTCAACTATGGACTGCATGAGTTGCCTCTAACTGAAATGGACTAGATTTGGAAATGGAACATATTTCCCCAATCACATGCACAGAGTTCACTGTAGACAGCTCCATAGACCATTGAGCAATTACAGAGCAGGAAACAGTCACAAGAATGTAATGTTGTTATTTTTAGGAAAAAAGAATGGCACAAGCAAAAATCTGTGCCTTTCCAGTAAAAATATTCCTTACTGCTTGCATTTCCCGGTTGCCACTTTGAACTGCACAGGAGGGTGGAGGGATGCCAAGATGCTATCACACAATCCACCATTAATGGATACATGCTGCTATCCAGGGCCTCTAATTGCTTGTGTATTGATTTACAGAGCAGAAAATCCTCCTGTTACTGTATCAATAAATATTCAAATAGATCCAAAACTTACCAGGCTCGGGCAATTTATGCCTCTTCTGTGTCTGCTGCAGGCTCGGCAGTGGGCTGTTCCTCGGAGAGGTACATCGAACAGCTCCTCCGAGCATGGACACAGAATTTTCTGCTGATCCTTTTTAAAAGCCCGCTCCAGGACCAGTCTCAGCATCATAGTGATTTCATCATCCTCACTCGGTGCCTGCTGCTGGCTCCCATCACTCCCCAGGCTGGATTCTGGGGCCAACAGGGTACCATCGCACCTGACCAGGTCATTCTGCACCATAGTTGGACCTGAGCTGGGTGCGGTGCCCAGGAACCAGTCAAACTCCTCATAAGACAGACATGATGTTGGTGAAAGCATAGATCATGCTCTTGCAACACGTGTTTTATTCAACTTGAAACATACATTGGAAGAGGTGCTCTCCCTCCATTGCCTGATGTACAAGGCATATCGATGATATTTCTTTGCAATTTCCACTTTCTCCCTCCACTCCAAAAAAAATTTTAGTGTGAATTTATTGCTCATGAAAGGGGCTAGCCTATTTAAATCCTATTTAAAGGCAGCCATCCAATGGAAAGGTGACCCTCAGATGAAGGAGGAGCCACAGGACTAGGATTTAATGAAGGCCAATTCTACGCTGGGAAATGTTTGCCAGCATAACTATGCCAGCAGAGCACAGACACAGCTTATAACGGCAAAAGCACTTTTTTGCCAGTGTGATTGAGTCTACAAAAGGATCTTTGTGAGTATAAAAATGTCTCCCTCAAGCCCCCCCCAAAATAATGACAATTCATCACCCCACTAACCAACAACACTACGCTGAGAAGTTTCTAGTGCAGACCTGACCTAAGCACTGGGGACAAAAAATGACAAATAAGAACGAGAGGGTTATAGGGTCAAAATAAGGGAACCAAAAGGAGACATCAAGCAGAGAACTCCAAACAGTGCATATTGAACCAAACAATGGTTCTCCTGTCTAAAGAGACAGGAGAACCACTCAGATGAACTCTGCCCCTATGTGTGCATGGGCAAGGGAATGGAAAAAGGTCCCCACGTCATAAAGAATCATAGAATCGCAGGATTGGAAGCGACTTCGCGAGGTCATCTAGTCCAGTCCCCTGCACTCATGGAAGGGCTAAGTATTGTCTAGATTATCCCTGACAGGTGTTTGTCTAACCTGCTCTTAAAAATCTCCAATGATGGTGTGATGGGTTGGCTCACAGAAACCCCCTTGAGAGCTGCTACCTAATGTACCAAGACTACCCCTGTTCCTATTTTCTCTGCCCGCTCAGGACTCCAGCACCCTGTCTTGCTGAGCCAGACACTCCCGTCTGCTCCAACACAGACCCAGGGTCTGAATTACTTGCCCCAAAGCTGCAGGTTTACCTGAAAACAGCTCACAGAAGTGTGCTTGTCTTTAGCACTCAGATGCCCAACTCCCAATGGGGTCTAAACCCAAATAAATCCATTTTACCCTGTATAAAGCTTATGCAGGGTAAACTCAAATTGTTCACCCTCTATAACACTGATAGAGAGATATGCACAGTTGTTTGCTCCCCCAGGTATTAATACATACTCTGAGTTAATTAATAAGTAAAAAGTGATTTTATTAAATACAGAAAGTAGGATTTAAGTGGTTCCAAGTAGTAACAGACAGAACAAAGTAAGTCACCAAGCAAAATAAAAGAAAATGCACAAATCTATGTCTAATCAAACTTAATACAGATAAGATCCTCACCAGTTCCAGAATGCTCCCTTTTACAGACTAATCTCCTTTTAGCCTGGATCCAGCAATCACTCACACCCCCTCTAGTTACTGTCCTTTGTTCCAGTTTCCTTCAAGTATCCTGCGGAGGTGGAGAGGCTCCTTCTTTAGCCAGCTGAAGACAAAATGGAGGGGTCTCCCAGGGGTTTAAATAGACTCTCTCTTGTGGGTGGAGACCCCCTCCTCACCCTGTGTAGAATCCAGCCACAAAATGGAGATTCAGAATCACATGGGCAAGTCACATGCCCATGCATGACTAAGGACTTGCAGGTAGCAGCCATTACCCACATGCTACCTTGAACATCCTCAGGTAGACTTCTTATGTGGATTGGAGTCTTCCAAGCTCTTTTGTCTGTTAAGTGCTTCCTGACTGACCACTTAATTTGCACATTCCTTTCCCAAGAAGTGACCAAATGTTCTAACTAAGGCTACTTAGAAATCAAGCAATTATACAGCCAATGTTCATAACTTTGAACACACAAATGGTGCCTGCATACAACTAGGATGAACATAACCATTAGATCATAACCTTTACATAGATATGTTACATGGCATATGTAGCAAAACCCTATTCCAGTTATATCATACATACATTTATGAGCACCCCCACATAAAGCCTTATGGTGTACATTGTCACAGATGGAGATTCCACAACCTCGCTAGGCAATTTATTCCAGTGTTTACCTACCCTGACAGAAAGTTTTTCCTAATGTCCAACCTAAACCACCCTTGCTGCAATTCAAGCCCGTTGCTTCTTGTCCTATCCTCAGAGGTCAAGGCAATCAATTTTTCTCCCTCCTTATAACAATCTTTTGTGTACTTTAAAACTATCATGTCCCCTCTCAGTCTTCTCTTCTCCAGATGAAATAAGCCCATTTTTTTCAATCTTCCATCATAGGTCGTGCTTTCTAAACCTTTTCTGTTGTTCTTCTCCAATTTGTCCACATCTTTCCGGAATGTGGCACCCAGAACTGGACACAATACTCCAGTTGAGGCCTAATCAGCGCGGAGTAGAGCAGAAGAATTACTTCTCATGTCTTGCTTATAACACTCCTGGCTAATACATCCCAGAATGATGTTTGCTTTTTTTGCAACAGTGTTACACTGTGATTCATATTTAGCTTGTGATCCACTATGATCTCCAGATTGCTTTCCGCAGTACTCGATCCTAGGCAGTCATTTCCCATTTTGTATGTGTGCAACTGATTGTTCCTTCCTAAGTGGAGTACTTTGCATTTGTCCTTATTGAGTTTCATCCTATTTACTTCAGACCATTTCTCCAGTTTGCCAAGATCATTTTGAATTTTAATCCTATCCTCCAAAGCGCTTGCTACCCCTCCCAACTTGGTATCGTCCACAAACGTTATAAATGTACTCTCTATGCCACTATCTAAATCAGTGGCTCTCAACCTTTCCAGACTGCTGTACCCCTTTCAGGAGTCTGATTTGTCTTGCATACCCCCTAGTTTCACCTCATTTAAAAATTACTTGCTTACAAAATCAGACATAAAAATACAAAAGTGTCACATCACTATTACTTAAAAATGGCTTACTTTCTCATTTTTACCATATAATTATGAAATAAATCAACTGGAATATAAATATTGTACTTACATTACAGTGTATAGTATATAGAGCAGTATAAACAAGTCATTGTCTGGATGAAATTTTAGTTTGTACTGACTTCGCTAGTGCTTTTTATATAGCCTGTTGTAAAACTAGGCAAATATCTAGATGAGTTGATGTACCTCCTGGAAGACCTCTGAATACCCCAAGGGGTACACGTATTCCTGGTTGAGAACCACTGATCTAAATCATTGATGAAGATATTGAACAGAACTGGACCCAGAACTGATCCCTGTGGGACCCCACTCAATATGCCCTTTCAGCTTGACGGTGAATCACTAATAATTACTCTCTGGGAACAGTTTTCCAACCAGTCATTCACCTACGTTACAGTAGCGCCATCTAGGGTGTATTTCCTGAGTTTGTTTATGAGAACGTCATGTGACACAGTATCAAAAGCCTTACCAAAGTCAAGATATACCATATCTACTGCTTCCCCCATAGCCTCAAGTAACCCGTCAAAAAAAGCTATCAGGTTGGTTTGACATGATTTGTTCTTGACAAATCCATACTGACTGTTACTTATCATCTTATTATCTTCTAGGTGTCTGCAAACTGATTGCTTAATTATTTGCTCCATTATCTTTCCGGGTACTGAAGTTAAGTTGACTGGTCTGTAATTCCCCAGTTGTCCTTATTTCCCTTTTTACAATTTGGCACTATATTTGCCCTTTTCCAGTCCTCTAGAATCTCTCCCGGCTTTCCATGACTTTTCAAAGATAATCATTAATGGCTTAGATATTTCCTCAGTCAGCTCCTTGAGTATACTAGGATGTCTCTCCCATCAAGATTCCTCCTCCTGGAATGATGGACAGCCATCTTGGCCAGTGCCAAGAAGAGATGGTCAAGGAAGTCTATCCACAGACACAGGTAAAGCATGGGATGCAGCAGTGCAATGTTTACCACACTCCCTGCCTATGTTCCTCAAACCTGACATGGACAGGCCACTAGTAGCATGAGGGCGCGTTAGCCTCAATGTAGTCTTAAGCCTGTGCTTTTTCTGCCAAACCTGCCAACAAAGTTGTCAACTAGTGCCATGTGTGGTGGTGGTTTATGTGATGTAGATCCTTGTGCACCGATAACAGTACAAAGATAAGCAGCTCTGACCCAGTTAGTCATTTGCTTGTATTCCAATGGAATATTAATGAGATGCTGATACTACAGGTCCCATGTTTATCAAGACAGCACCACCAATAGATAAGAGTGGCATTGTTCTGGGCATAAATCACTGATTTATGACAACATTAGGCCAGAGAGTTGGGGACCTACAAAACAAAGCAGGATAGGGCTAGGAGGTGTGACTAGGGACACATCAGAGAAGGGATTTTTCTTTTTTCTTTATTTTGGGCCTGGATCCACAAATCCTAGGCCTTATGTAATTTTGCTGGGTGGATATGGACAGCAACGGAGGAAGGGGACAAAAAGGTATGAATAATCATGGTCAGCTTTTAACATTGCCTCTCCAAAGCCTTGCCAAAAGTATTGTCACCCATTTTTGCTAAACAAAATACAGAATTTCATCAAGCTGTAGATACAGAATTTTTATTAATTCCCTTTGTAGCATGGCAGCTCCATTCTTTGCCCACATCCATTGTCATAAAGGCCCATTTATAAAAGTTACTCCTGGGAAGTTAGATTGTATATTTCATTAACTTGACTGAAAACTGGGAGGATTTTTTAATCTGTGGGCTCTCATTATTCAAAGGCCTTTACAATGTATAAGGCAACTTTCAAGGGGAGAAGAGGCCACCTTTGCAATGAATCATAAACAGCTACAAAAAAATCCAACAGATGCCAGGTGATCAACTGGCTCATCGGAAGCAAAGCAACAGGGAAAAAGTAGAAAGGAAGGCTGCATGGCCCTTGGCATGATACAATACTGGTGGACTAGTCAGTTGTTTTATACTTTATTATAGTCTTGTACCTTTCTCATGCTTGTTTAACATGCCGAGGCTGGGAAGTGAAACAAACAGCCCCAGACAGCAGCCCTCCACTTATTCAACAGAAGAAGGGACATCTGGTATCCACCAGAGATGAGCCACCAATTGAAACATAAAGGTTTAATGTCCCTCTTAAACAAACCCATTTTCACTCTGAAACAATGAGAATATGCAAAAAGTAGCCAAGCAGAGATACCTTTTATAAAGGAATTCCCCAGCTGCTACTGCTAGAGGTCTGTGCGTGGTATAAACAAACTGGAATAAGGTTTCACAGTCTTCAGATGATAACGCGTCCTCACAGTTCCTATGCAAAGATATAATACAAGTTATTATGCATATTTAGCTAGAAAGGATTATACGTATCCTAATATTGGACCTGATTCTATACCTAATACTGGACCTGATTCTCCACTGCCTTGCAGTTCATATAGTCAGTTACACCTCTGCAAATTGAATCTTGATATGCTACCTAATCAGAGCAGTAGCATTTTTGTATTCACCTTGTAGAGATGGAAGTGTCTACATAACATACAAGGAATGAAGAATTAGGCTCTTTGTGCGGGCATAAACGTTCACATAAAAGCGTGGGTAAGGCTGTTTGGTTCTCAGGCAAAAAAAAAAATTCCAAAATTAGTTACAAAAAAGGAAATTCATAACATAGTATTTTTAATCTTGGATTGTTTGCCACAGGAAATTATAATATAGATCAAATATCCTGTATTTTTCTACATAAAATTGTTTAAAGCTATTTAATCAAGAGTTAAAACGGATACTCATTACAATGAGCTTATATAGAAACTCATTTTAAAAATCACGGCAAAAGCATGCTCAAAAGGAAGCTGACCAGCATGCCAAAGACCAGAACTATTTATTGAAAAACCTGAAAGTCACAGTTTTTGCAACAAGTATACAGCCTTACTAATGACATTTCTCATTTACATACCCCTTTACACCTTCAGAGCACCACGTAAATATTAATCAATCCTCCAACACACACCCTGTGAGGTCAGAAAGTATTATCTCCATTTTACAGAGAAGAAAACTGAAGCAGAGAAGGTTGAGTGACTTGCACAAGGCTACAGAGGGAGTCAAGATCAAAGCTCAGATGAGAATTTAGAAATTCCAGGCTCCTACTCCTGCTTGCATGCCATTGGAGAACACTGTCAACAGAACAAAGAGCAGTGAGATCCTTCTACTTCTGGCATAGTATGGGAGGGGAAACTATGATGGGGTAGAGATTATACTTGTAGGGGGGTTTTTATTTATTTATTTAATAGTTCTGCTATCAGCCCCCAAGAGGTTAGTTACATCCTCTAATGCACAGCCTACTATGTGGCCTACTACAACTTCTAAAAAGAAGGCTCTCACTTTTGCAGCTGCTGGGATTGATAACCTAGTCGCACATTGCTCCTCTTCTATAATGGCTACCAGCTCTTTTGTCACCAGCACTGCCTTACCTCTTAGTATCTTGACAAGTCCCAATTTAAAAATACAAAGCCTCTGGCACCCTCAAATCCTAGTCCCTAGCAGTTAAATATTAAGCAGGGGTGTCTCACTGACAACTACTTGAACTAACATTGGGTAAAGGTTTGTGGGAGATTATAACAAAACAAAAAAACAAAAAACAAAACAAAAAAGACAAACAGCTCTTAAACTAATCTACAAACATTGGCTGTGGTTTAAAACAGTAGGAGAGTAGCGGGTTGAAAGCCCCAGGGTACTTGAACAGAGGGCATGCTGTCTGTTGGCTTTTCACTTCTGTGAGCCAACAAGGTCTCAAAAGTCATAAATTGATCATTATGGATTATTTCCCTATGCGCTCCTTGCTTATTTTTGCTGAAAAGTTCCCTGCTATTTTTAATGAAAGTTCTCTCTCCTGCTAGGTTGCACTCAGTAAACTTGCTTATAATGATCACTGGCACAGTAAACAGGTCTTTATAGTGAAAATGTTGATGATGTGCCAAGTAAATATTGACTGGAACTAGTCTAATAGTAATTATGCACTAAATAAATGCCAAGCCAAGTGTGTGGGGGAGTGACAGAGGGGGTGGCAAATAAATATTACATTATTATTCAGCTATCTTTAGGACTGGTGAAATAGTGAAAAAATATATTTATGAATAAGTTACTCAGTGATTGGTTTGAAACATTTAAAATTAACTACATACAAATATGATTTAAGCAGCTCCTGTGTGGAGTTCTGTACTGTGTATGAGCACCAAGCTATGTAACCTGTGGAGCCTGGATTAAAATTTTAATTACAAGGGCTGATGTAGTTGAGTGGTATTCACCTTCCATTTACTTTTGCATCCCATATTCACATTGAGTGGTGTCAACTGAACATACCAAATGGCACTTACAGAAGTAAGGGTTGCCCAACCAGCTTTGTATCAGTAAAAGTATGGAGAACTGAATGAAATAAGCCAACTGTTTAATATAATTTTTATTCACTGTAATATCAATACAGCATAAGTCCTCTATAAACACTTCTTTTCTAGGAAGCTGTCCAATGCAAATTCTCTACCTATTTGCAACTCTTTCTCACCCTCTTTTTAAAAGCTGGGATCAAACTGAAATGGCAGTTCTAAGTGACAGTGTTGTAGTCTGGGACACCTGTGGACGGAGATGTGCACAGTTTTTGAGACGGGGCTATTTCTTGTTCTTTAAATCAGTTCTCTCTCTTCACTATATTGCAAGGTGACAGAGAGCGACAGGTATTACATTCACTGCAACAAGTCTTTCTTTTTCTAAACCCCTTTGATAGGTGAAGTGCTTGGCAATATGTGTATAGTTATAAAAAGCCTCTCTTTGGGGACAAGTTACAAGTTTTTATACAAACTATTTCTAACCATGGGAGGGAAAGGCTAAAAATGGGGTAAGCAGCAACAGAGGGTCCTGTGGCACCTTTGAGACTAACAGAAGTAGTCTCAACAGTCAAGACTAACAGTCTTCTTCTGTTAGTCTCAAAGGTGCCACAGGACCCTCTGTTGCTTTTTACAGATTCAGACTAACACGGCTTCCCCTCTGATACTTAAAAATGGGGTGAAATCCAGTTTTGTCACTGTCTTCAAAGGGACCAGAATTTCCCCCAGGTATTTTACCCTGTATTCAGTTTTCCCCTCATTAAGGAAGCGTTAAGTACGGTGTGACCTCGGCTCCTTGTACAGAACACTCTCTGGTGGCACAGGAGCTCAGCAGGGAAAAATGAGCCACCTCTACCCGATATGAGCTGCCAGGCGGGCATAACATTCTTTTTTTTAAAAATCCATTAATTAAGCAGACGGAAGATCTGAATGTGCATCTGTTCTCTCGTCTTTCACACAGTGCTCAGCAGTTGCTTACTGTAAGATGTCAAGATTTCCACTTGAAAGATACCTGACCAGTTCAGAAACTACGTACCTCTACAGAGGGCAATACCTAGCTACACCTACTACAACCGGCGATTTCAGAAGTATTTCCTCAATAAAAGGGGTGCCTTCTTTTGTACATATAAGCCAATAATCACACATTCAAAGAATACTTTATGTAGTGCAATACTACTGCTGCAAATTTACAGCCCTTCAAATGCCAAGTGACAGATAAAGGTTAAGCCAGAAGTGCCTGCCAGTATTTAGATGCCTAAAAATAAGCATGGCTTTCCACATACCAGTGCCATGATATATCATTTTCTCCTCGCGTCAGTGTGAAGAGGCAAGGAAGAAGGAAGATGGGATATGCCAGGGAGAGAGCAAAGACTCCATTTGTTCTGGATGCCAAACATTAGCTGGGAAATCTCACGTCTTCTCTTTTGTTTTCCATTCCATGAGATGACCTTGGAAGCAGAAGACCCACTGCCTTCTCAACGTGAGAGGGGAGACTGAACAGGGGCTGCCTACACCATCTCATTTGTGTGCAATTTACTTATATTCCAAGATAAAAAAACCACTATATCTAAGCAGAATTAAAATATCCGTAACATAAGGGTAAAAAAACGAAAACAAAACAAAAAAAACCCTACCTTACAAGGATGTTGTAATTATCCCAAACCCAAACATTACATGCTAAGAAAATATCGCACTTAAGAAATCCAAGCAAGAATGAAAATGCAGAGTTAAGGTATATGAACAACCTTAATGCTGCCCCTTAGCATCACCATCCAATAAGCATGATTAAGGCACTTAAGGGTTTGTGGTCCCAGATTAGATTAAACTGATTTTTGAGGATATTAGGGCGGGTGTTTTTGTTTTCTTCATATGTTTCCCCTCTTGGCGTCAATACAGGCACGGCAGTAAAGTGTCATCTGCATACACAAGACACGAGGTGAAATCCTGGCCCCACTGAAGTCGGTGGGAGTTTTGCCATAGACTTCAAATGGGACCAGGATTTCACCCAAGATCTATGTTCTGACAGGACAGGGAAGGTGTCAAATATTAGAGAGGTGCTAAAGGGCAAGGGCTTCAGCACTAAAAGCATGGGTTTGTTTTGGTTCAAGAGCACACACTGGAGCGGAAAGCAAGCTCTTTTCTCTTTTTAAGTGGTCTCAAGAAGGGGAAGAGACTAGGGCCGGCAGGCATTTTGAAGCCAGAGTTAGCAGAGGTGCATGATGGTAGGAAGATGGCTGCAGGAGATAAGGGATAACAGAAGGAGTAATTAGTTTATGCCATCACCATCACGAAGGAGGAGAGGGGTCTTTTGCTTTTACATTGTTTTGGACAGGCTTGATTCTTCCTTCAGGGAATCTCAAAGCATTCTCATATCTCTACATTAATGGTGTTATGGGTGCTGACTCCGTGGGTGTTCCGGGGCTGGAGCACCCATGGGAAAAAAACACAGTGAGTGCTCAGCACCCACCAGCCACAGCTGTTCGC